TTGGTCATTCATAATCTAAAACTGGATCTACACTGATGTCACGTGATAAATTACCGAACTTAATTTCCTTCTTGCAATTCATCTATACAATCCTTGTTTTCAGTAATCCAAGCACAACTGTATTTTCCTAAAAATCTTAGCCATTGGTTTTTCACCCTTGTCTTCTTTTTGCTCTGTAACCAATTACGATTTCAGATGAGCATGCCATTGTTGGGTCAGTCACCTCCGACCGAAGCACATTCGCAGCATAATTGTAGGTGAACTCATTTTCTTCTTATTTCTCCTACATAGAGTTGTTTCAGTTTTCATAGTATACGTAGCTATTTGAATAATCAAGTAGCATAGCGGTTTGTTTTATCAGGTGAGAGATCTCGCAAGACAGTCTAGTTGTTTTCTCTGAACTGAATCTCTTCCGACAGTGCGTGGTCTTTCCGATGGTCAGTACAGATGGCAAGATGGTAGCTGTAACTAGTTGTCCGCCGCCGCTGTTGGCCTTTCAGCTAGAAGGGCAGCGAATCGCACTTTTTGCATAATTGAGCTACTCAACGACTCTTCGCATCTTTTGGGAAATAAAACTTCGTTACAGTAGCGCGCAAGTCATTTATCTATTAGAATGACTTTATATTCTTAATCCGTCTCGTTCTTGGCATTCTTCTAATTCTACCGTAATCTAACTGAACACTGCTATAGTGATTGTGTGGTGTACGAAAGTTTTTGAAGAAATCTGTTAACTTATCAACTTAAAATCTCCGATAAGCAGTGCACTTCAGCACCGCTTCATAGGGTTTTCCTCTATCTTAGGTTTCCGGAAAACTAGTATGTTGCATGGAGGTAATTGTGCCTTTGAACTATGAATTCTATACCATTCTAACAAGACTATACACAAATTTACTGATTGAAATAGAGATCAATACAAATTGAACATCGTTGACGACAGGACACGAGTTTATTCACTTCGGCAAAAGACAGTCTTACACCTCCCGAAGCGTCGAATTCTTCGATTGTCGTTAGAGGTGGCTGTTACGTCTGTTATGTTGTATGTTCCGATCTTCTTTTCTACAATAAAAACACGATTTCCGATCGCATTATGATACGACATTCGTTGACAGTTGTACTCTATACGACAATGGACGGCGTTCGGCTCAGTATTTGGGACGAGATTAAGATCTTAAACTTTTCCGTAGCCGAATTTTCACCGAAAGAAGATTACGGCGAGTTTTTGGTCGTCTGTGTAACTTAATAATTTGTAACATTTTCAGTATAACAAAGACTTTCAGGAAATGAGCACCCACGTCGCAAACTAAATTTGCAGACGTTGAACGAGTTGGGCTACGAAACCCTGTTCCATCTACCATAGTGGTTTCTCTTAACCAGCTCTAAGTTTTTTCAAGCATTTCCAAGTTATTGCTTTCCCCACCCTGTGTTTCAAAATCGGTCGTTTGTTTTATCACCAGCGAAATCAACTCTGTTGTATTCATTCGCACTTTCCCAGAAAGTTTCTGGCTTCATTTCCAAATCTGTGATCACTTCATTAGTTAGGAATTCTTTCAAGCAACTTAAGAAATACTTATTATCGCACAACATCGATAGCATATCGGTAGCGTATTCTCACGGATATGATTAGAGACGTTGGAAGTGCACTTATTAGATCTACTGTGCAATAACGCACACATTGCCGCTGATTCAACCTCACATGAGCACCATCAAGCATCTCATCTACCAGACTTATGTGACAAGAGGTCCTTCGGTTTATGTGACAAGAGATCCTTCGGTCAACAGAAATTAACTGCCTTTGGTGAAATTATGAAAACATTCTAGTTTGGCTATGCCAGGATTTCGGAAAGCTTCAACTCCACCAACATTCGACGAATTTCATTAGAAAGAAGTCTTCATGTGGCAGAAGAACCCAAATGTAGATCAGTAGGTGTTTCCTGATGACGATTCCAGTACAGCAAACCATATGAATTGTTGGAATACAGCAAATATCTGATATCGGACCACAAAAACATAACAAATATGTGTAAATGGGGATGTCGTCTGAAATTTATTGTCTTGCAATTGACGACGGCGATATCGATGTGACGAGTACATCAAGCAGACTGAACTATTTGATGGGGGATATCAGAAAAATGAAGAGTTCTTACAACGTGTTAGATATGTCATAGTTTCTCCATAAACAAGGGAAATAAGGTTTTTATTCCAAGTTTACAATAATCTTGGTGGTAATTGATTACCCGTTACTTCAGCTGTGACATTCTCGAAAACCTCCGTTTCGTTTCATAACCATTGCTGATTCATCACCAGCAATTTCTTCTGAATAGTTTAACATTGTAGAAATGATCACTTTACAGTTTGTTGAGGAAAATCTTCGCGAGTGTGATCTTCCTGAATTCAGCGCTTTATCGATCCTCAAAAAGCTCAATATTAAGTTCACAATTCTTTATCGATTAACTTGAACATCTAATACACGGCGCCCATGGCGTTGTAAGCAATTGTTTTGTCACTTGCAACCTTCATTTTGATCCCACAGTTGTTAGGATAAATTACTGTCAAGAATTTTTCAATTTATTCTTCAACGATAACTCTGGAACTTGTAGACGCCATTTCTCTGTCGTTATTTTATGCACTAAGCTGCTAATGCTTGCATTTTCCTAAATGTTTAAGTTAATAAGAGGTTTGTAAAAGGATTTGATCGGTTAACGTCTCGACGCCTTCGTCTCCTTCAGAGCCGGATTGATCCGAGTCGATGTCCACAGCTGGTCGCCCTCGCGATGTGGTTGTTCGTTGTCGCATGGAGTCGAATCCAGGGAAGTTAACAACGATCGAGTAGAGACTGCACGGGGTAGTGTCCTTTTATACAGGACTATCTAATCTGTTGACACCATCCAATATGGTTGCTTTCTTGGCAGCATTGAATTCTGCAATAGTCGGTACCATTATTACCTAGTTCAAAGCGTAACAATATTTTAGAAACCGAATTTCCTTTAGCTTTGGCATAGTTGATCAAAGTTTTTTCGAAAGATTAACCTAGTGCGAGTTTTTCATAAAGATTTCTTTTCGGCTAACATTTTGGCGCTGTAGGGTATTGTGAAGCACTTTTCGACTTGGGTATCGTTAAACGTATGGCTTCGTCAGCTAAACGTTGTTTACATGGCAAGAACATGTCGAAAAAGTCCATTTCTCGAAAGGAGCGAAGAAGAATCGATGACATATTTTTGGCATCAAAACGCAGTTGCAATAGTACTTAGCTAAAGTTTTCGAGAAGAACAGGTTCGCTTCACTTTGGCTCACTTTTTTCGCTTAAGGTGCACCACACGACAGCCTTCGTTTTGACATTCTAATAGCTTTTTTTTAGTGGTCTGCAAAGGTGTGGACAAAGGAATATAGTCTTCAGGAGAGCACTGTGCTCGTTTACTTCTTTGAAAAGGAAATAGTTATGTACGTGGAGAAATGCCCGTGCAATTAGTGGCTTCCAATCCGAAGGGAATCGATCGTCATGTTGTCCGGGGCCGGAGCCGTTGCCTTTTTCGTGCTCTTGGGCAAAAATCCAGAATGCATAGCCCGAGGTGGTCATCATTCAACATTGAAAGTAGTGAAGCAGAATGCCGAGGTGAGACCTCCATAAATAGACATGATACTTGACTTATTAGACTTGTGAGTTGGAGAAGAAGCGAACGACACCAATATTTATTGAAGCGAGGTCTTCACCGATTATAAGTGTTTCTTAATTTCTCCAACACGATCATGTTTAGTCTGGTGCATTCCGATGAGTCTAGGAAACGGTGACGGTCTGCATTTCTGAGTATGGGTATTTGGGGGTATTTGGTTGAGAATAATGTGGTCACTCATGGAACTAAAACTGTGAAAGTGAAGCTTCTCCTCTGCTGAAAAATTTTGGACTACCTGTTACTTCAGTAATTCTAACCACTTGTCGTTCGCCGTTGTTTACAAAAAGTTTCTTATTTGACTATTCAAGTTTTTTTTTACTGAAACAACCCAATGTCACGAATCTTGTAAGTTATCAAAAATATGTCAGTCATTCATTATCATGTATTTCAGTCGATTATTAGCTTAAAGCGACTTTTTCAATGCAGATTTTTCTTTTGGAAATCTGTTCTTCTATTAGGGGTTGTTAGTACTGGTTAAACACAAACCCAGTAACCACGATGTTGTTGAGATATTTGCGAAATCCCGTTGACGGGTGATTGCTGATAGCGCCAATGGGTCAATAAGACGGTTGAGAGACAGGCGAAACGAAGGACTCGAATGGTGTGGTGGTGAACGCGTAAGCTCCCGGAAAGGGTAATAGCGTGTTCGGTCTGAACCGCAGACACCAGTGGTCCGGAGTTTCGTAAATATCTAAGCAACATTGTGGTTACATTTCACATAATACCCTACCATTAAAAATTAGTAGGCAGTAAATAAAAACTAGCGACAAACCCAGTAGTTATCGTGCAGCCCTATATTACACTGAGAAATCCCAACCCTTTTCTTAATGTAGGGGTTGTCGACTTTACCACTTGCTCACCTTCCCTCACCGGTTTTAAGTTCTAACAATTTTAGTTTCTTATATTGTTTTTCATCTACCAAGTTGTTTTTATGTTTATTTCACATACACATAATAAATTCCACTTTATCCCTATGACAGCGGGTGTGCTGTGTTCAGTGCTCTAGTCATAGCTTGTAGACCATGAAAACTGTGTAACCTTCCATGATTTACTCACGAACGGTGCAAGAGAGTGAAATGGTATGTGCGAGTAGTGAACTGAAGTCACCAACGGTGTGTCAGTGTCGATATGCAATGTATTCTTAAAAACTATAGCTTTTTCTTTATGCACTTTCTCTCCTTAACTGAAACTCGTTTAGTAAACGCCATCGGTGAGATCCTCAACCGGAAGACGTCAGTGGCCCAGATCTTGTCGAAGACAGTCGAAGGACTGAACCATGCCTACGAACTGCGAAATTCCTCTCCAGAAGATCTAATTTTCGATCTCTTTAAAATGCCAAGTAGGGATGAAGCCAGCATCACTAGACTTATTAAGGTGAGGTGGCATAAATAGCGTTCACGTGCTTGCCATGCCTTGCCTAACATCACATTAGTCATTGTGGATGAGCAGTTGATACGCATCGATTTGGTAACATGTTACGGACAGTTTCATTAGTATCCATTTCCTTTTTACATTGCTACCCGAGACAGCTCAGAGATTTCCAAATCGTTTGCTTCCGTCCTTCGAGATATGTGAATGATTTTGTCCTTGGTGATCTATGTGGACTCTTCTTTTAGTGGTATGAGCAGTGAACCACTCCAAGAGAACCGAAGTGCTAATGTTCTTTGGTGCTCACTAGGCAAGTTAAAGACTACTTGATATCTAAGGTGTTCTTATTCCTTTCATTCCCGGAAGTGATTTAGGGCGCAAATTTTCTGCTGTTTTGTACAGATTGCAGCAATGAGTACTCTTTTGGTATTCCTTTTCGGATACTTGGGCGACTTATCCTCACGAATAGTGCAGCTCCAGGCAAACTCTCCATTCGTGTCTTCCTCTAGCGATCGTCGCCCATGGTGGTCTGCTTCGAACAAAGTGTCTTTGGCGATACACTTGCCGTGGTCCAGAAATCGTTTCAGTTCCTGAAGGCAAATGATTGAAGTGAGCCATGAACACGTTCGCCCATCGTTTGGGTGGTTGTGCGACAAAACACTTGCATTTTCTTGGAGACCACTCGACTGCTTTTTTTCGTTCATCTGTCACTGTTCTTCTCATTATGTTACCGCCCATTTATGTTCCGCTATCGATGTGTTTTTCATGGGTCTCGATCACGAACAAGGTTTCGAAGATCTGAGCTAGACATATCAGCTAGATGTTATGAGTGCCTGCTAAATCTTAGTAGGTATCGTTCAGGCGGTTTGTGGGTGGTATGCAAAGTTCCTAACGCGAATGAAATTTGGGCCCACGTCTCTGCTGCATAAGAATGCACGGAAGAACTGTTGAGTTGAAAAAGTAATAATTGATTTTTGGGTCCGCTATTTGGTCGGTGGCTTCTTTCAGATGCCCGAATACGGCCAAGCTTCTCTCCTTCTGTCTAATTCCGCTTTCATGTTGTTCTCCATGGTGATTGAACTTCTAAGGTACAAGTACAAAGTGGTCTCGATAACCAGAGAACCATTCAGTTTGATTTGTTTGCCTTCTCACCATAGGTTTTCATGATTTGGGTCTTCGGCCTATTTAAGCGAAGTCCAATTCTTTCCACGACTTCGCTATATTCATTGAGAGTCGGTACAATGCTCTTCCACTGGAACTCCTCGAATAGATGGCGGTGCCATCCGCGAATCGAAGAGTTGATAGCAATTTCCCATCAATATGTATGCTTATCTGTTTCAAATCTAGTGACTTCCTTGTTTACTGCAGTGTTGAGCTAATCAGCTTTGGAAATATTGTGTCTCCTTTTCGAAACCCTTTTCCTATGGGTATGATAAGGAGTCGATGGAATAGTATACTTTTGCCAAGTACCGACCATATAGCTAGCTCGATTTTCTATATATGATGGGTCTATTCTTTGTTCCACGAACGCTGAAAGGATTCGTTCATAGTTGAAACAAAAAGTGAGGACTAGGGACAGTGGTATTCTCGACTAACTTTTATGACTCGAGACTTGCGTCCTAAAAAGGATAAAGGATAAAGCTCTCTGCGTCGATAAATCCCTGAGGGATGCGCCATGCATTCGACTTCATTAAGTATCGTTGGAGGTGATTGAATGCTTATCTGGTCTTTGAAATGACTCATGGTGGCCTACCGATGTATCGAGCTAATGCTGCTATCCTTCCAGACAAGTCTGGTACCAATTTGCCTACTCCAGAGGGATGGAAGGTTTGTTGAGTCATGGGCGCGGGGATGAATTCCAACCACTGCGCCACACGCGCTCGAGACTTGCGCTTTATCAAAACTAATTGACACATGTAACAGAATAATGTTCACGAAGAGCGCACTCAGCAAGCAAATTGATCAGCAGTTACGAAGATAACTTCGGTCACTTTTCTTGGGCAGGATGGCCGTTACCAGTGTCATCCACTGGTCTTGGATTTTCTCCTTTCCAGAATAATGTGTTCTATAGATTGGGAAAAGCGCATGTGGTTTACCAATTCGAGCTCGAATGAATTTGGCGAAGTGAAGCTCGAATGTAATAATATGGGGTCTTGCAAATTTACTTGTCTTCAAATTTTCTATTCCAATTCGATCTTCAAAAGGGAGAATCCTAAGCGGCTTTTCTCCAGTGCGAATCTCGGTGTCTGAAGCGATAATTCTGGAATGGCAAAGATAGATATAGAACTTTTTAGTTATTATTTTCAATATCAGGGTGGGATATTGTCGCAGGGAAATCTTTGCTCATCAATGTTGACATCAGAACATTATGACTGCGCAAGTTTCAATGGCCTTTTTTTCGGGCCGGTTAGTTTTTGAGCTCCTTCCAATGAATTTCTTTTTGTACTGCTGTAAATCTTCCTCAGAGATCTACAGCTTGCATTTATTATCAGGCGTGTAAGGTATGTGGCCATAGGATCAAGCTTGAGTTTAGTTCTCTTCTCGAAAATTCCTTAGTGGTAATGGAGATGCGGCATTAACTTCCTGTTTGCGGAAGTGAGGAAAGTTTGGCACAAGTTTCAATTCCTTCTCCTAGAAGTTTGTAGTCTCTTATCGGAACTTCCTGTTTCTGGCAGTCATACGGAAAGAGGATATTGTTGAGAGTACTGTGGCCATACACGACTTATCATGTTTTTCTTGGGCCACAATCGCACGAAGGCGGTGATGATCGGATGTACTACCGAAACCAGGTACCACTGAGGCGTCAGGGCAGGACTGTTTCTATTTGTAAGAATGTGTTCGATCACCACATCAGTGGTGCATTTAGGAGACTCCCATGCCCAGCGGCGATTTTTCCTTTCGGTAAATGGAGGTGTACGGAAGTGACGTGCTGTGGCCAGGGTTCCATCAAAACAGTATCCATTCCAATTTCGTTCTTCTATTCCAAATTTCTCGACTCTATACGAACATTTGCCGCCTCTTCCTAATTTGCACTGAAGCTTTTAACAACGGTTTTATAGAAAGGCATTTTTTTTAAAGAATAATCTCTCCAGTTGTTTTTAGAACACGTCTAGTTTGCTGTGGTGAACTCTACAGTTGGTGAGTAGCAGCTGATGATACAGATCTTCTAGTGCTACGAAAATTGGAGACAAGGAATGGGCAAGCCAGTATGGGACGATAACATAGGGAAGTAACTGAGGGACACATGACAAAGTCTGCGTTACGACATTTCGTGACGGAATTGTCCCTCCATAAATGACATCCCAACGTCCAGTTGACGTCTGATGGTCTTTACTGATTTTTGTCACTTGCTAGGCTATCAATTATCTAGATCGGTATATGATGAAACCAGTTGCCTTTAGAACAGCGTGAACATCGACATCTAAGATGACTGTCCTATTATAGTAGGTAAAGAGCAGGAAAAAGTCTCTGTGGCGTGATATAGGCAACCCCAACCCGAAATTCTAACGTCTCTCAACGTTTTTGTCACACATCAGGATTATTATAGGTGAGACCTCATAAAAGAAATGAAAGTGATTTGATAGTCATTTTCTCTAGGTTTTGAAATCATTCGGTTTGCGAGAAAGCGATCCACGTCTGCGACAGATGATGGAAAAGATGAAAAGTTTTGAGGACGAGGATGATGACGCACGAAATTTTCTTCTTCCTCGCGATAAATTTAAAGAGTGAGTTGTACTGTATGATTTCAATCAGATCAAGCGAGCAATTCTAGTGTGTTCAAAGGATCGCTCCAATTCTTTGCATATCTTTATCGATCCTTAAAGGTAATAATGTTCTCGGCGTTGGTGAATCCTTGAGGGATGCGTTACGCATCAGGCTTCATTAAACACCGTTGAAGGTGATTGAATGCATATCTGGCCATTACACAACGGCTAGCGCTACCCTACCGATCTATCGAACCAGTGCTGCTATCCTCCAAGACAACTCTGGTACCAATTTTCCGGCCCCGGAGACATGGAAGGTTTGATGAGCCCAGGACATAGGATCGATCTCATGTGTTTTGCAGGGTATCTTTAATCACTGAGCTATCTGTTCGACCTAACCTTGTGATTTCGAATACAACCTCATCTTTACTGGGTTCAGTGCCGATTTGTGCTTCCTAGGTCAAGTTGTCTCACTTTCATCAATTTAAAAAAGGCCTTAGACTCAACTGAAATAGAAGCAGTCATGGGAGCCCTTGATAGTCAGGGAGTCCCTACTCAGTAGTACATAAAGATCCTTCGTGAGCTATATAAAAATTTCGCAACCAAGATATCACCATTCTACAAAGATATTAACATTGACGTCAGAAGTGGGGTTAAGCAAAGCGATACCATCTCGACAAAATTATTCACCGTCACCCTCGAGAACGTCATGCGAACTTTGGAATGGGATAACATAGGAGTGAAAGTCGACGGTCGGAAATTACACCATCTTCTGTTGCTTATGAGATCGTCCTTATACCATCAAACATGAACCAAGCGGAACGAATGTTTGCCGACTTTGACAAAGCCTGTGGAGAGATTGGTCTTCGACTAAATCTCACAAAGCGGTGTTCATGAAGAACGGATTGGTTTCGCATGCCCCATTCACGCTCAACGGAATGAGTATTTCCGAAACCCACCGCTTTTTCGTGACTTCCAATGAGGAAGTTTAGAACAGCTGATTATAGTCGCATGTGGTTGACGACTGCACCATCCCACATCAAAAATCGATGCGAACATATAGGATCAGGTCGCGTATGACCTCCGGTCATTCATCCCTGCTATTCATTGTAGGTTTTTGGCATTGATCCAAAAAGCCTTTTTTCGAGAAGTTGATCATGTAATTACCAGAGAGTCTTTCGTCTTTTTGTAAGTGTTATTGACGCGTTTGGCCTAGTAGATTGTATATCAGTATACCCTTCCAGGCTCTGAAGAAGGCGATACTACCGAAACGTCAGCTAGCGTTGTATTGTATTGTGTTTTTCTATGGAAGCAAATGTATGCTGTTTAAAAACCTCGCGATTGCTGAACAAGAAAACAACACATTCATATTCCAATGCCGAGGTTAATAGAAGGTCGATCCTGGGAACTAGAACGAATATCTCCAAATGCTCCAGTTATGTCTATTTAGGTCTAGAAATCAACATGATGAACGACTTAGCTCCAGAGTTGAGCAGAGGGAAACGAGCGACATAAGGACCTTTCAAGAGCGTCGAGGATATAGTGAGGAGAACAAAGAATACTCGACTCCATGCCCACCTTTTCGACTCAACAGTACTTCCTGCGTTAACATATGCGCCAGAAACCTGGTCGCTGCGTAAACAGAATGAAAATTACTCAGCGTTATTGAACGCGCAGTCGAAAGGACGATGCTAGGAGTATCCCGTGTCACTCAAATAAGGGAAGTAATCCGAAGTTCCGACCTGCGTCGGCGATCAAAAAAATGCCGTTCTGCACTCCAAACGGTCGAGGATAAGGTGGGCCGGACACGTAATGCGTATGAATGACAACAAATGGACAAGAGCCGTTAGCGACTGGATTTCTTGGGATGTCAAACGCACTGCAGGAAGGCCACCGACCCGATGGTCAGAGTTCTTCAGGGAACCCTAGAAGAAAGATATGATGCTCAACGAGTCCCTAGAATGAGTGGCACCCACTGGGCTACTATTGCACGCGACAAGGAAAAATAGATTTACTGGCGCCCGCTCTAGTCACTCAACGATCAGCGAGACTACAGGTGACACGGGTGATACAGGTCATTCCCGTTGGCGGGTGATTGCTAATGGCACCATTATGTAGAAAACTGGGTGTGAGAAATGTAAAGTAAGAGCGTTAGTGGTGTAGTGTGTAGTACATGAGTTCCAGGGATTATAATCATGGGTTCGGTCTGGGTTGGGGTCCAAGTTTGTAAATTTCTGTGCATCACAGCGTTTGTATTTTTTGTTTAGATGCGTTCACCCATCAATGCACTTGATCTCACAAGCGCTTCGGAATCATCTCATTATTCCCAGTTGGGGAGAGTTTTGCGGTCAAATTAAGACCATATTTGAGGAGGTAAATGTGGTTGTGTTTTGAACACTTAATAGGTCTTAATGTTAATTACTAATAGCATAATTTCATCTTCGATTAGTCCAAAGACCATTTAAAGGTAAAATGAAGCAAGGCAAATAAGTAAAGAGATATCTTGTAGATGTAAACATATGTTTAGTCAATAGTTACTCATGACATTGTTTGAGTAGATTGTCAAAAGTAGTGGGTTGAACGAAAGACATTGCGAAAATGGCATAGAGATACTTTGTTCATATCAAAAATATTGACTGAAGGTAATTTTGATAGAGCTAACGCAGCTAGCTGTCAAGTGGCTAACAGTATTCTTTTACAATCAGTTATAATCCACACTATCAGTTGAATGTCCAGATTTTCGGCGGATTTGTAGGTGAACTGAGGTCCTTCGTCGTGGTGCGTTTTGCTGTGCGGCCTTCTGTGATCAATCACCGTCGTGCAATCTTTCACATGGCATTTCTTTTAATTCTGTTTGGGGAGGAAAGGAATGGAGTATGTGTACGGAGGACCTCTGGTGGATTTGTAGTACTGTAGTTACGAAAAAGCTCTGTTTAATAAAAAAGACAACGGCCATTAATAATAACATAGAATTCTGCGGTTTATCGTCCTCGATAGGGTTTCGGTCGACTCATCATAGGAATCGCTGCGCTTCTGTCAGTGTTCAGCATGTCGATGTGATCAGAGTATGACAGATCCTTAAGCCACCGCTACAGCCGAACCAACACTCTCACCAGACCACTTCTAAGCGTGAAGGTTGCAAAATAACGAGAAAAATAGATGAGGCTGGGGCTGTTATACTTATTATTCGTTGTTTTATTTGCAGATCTTAGAGCTTAGCGGTGATCAAGTATACTAAGTTAATTCGTCACCATCACCTTATGTTGTGTATCGTATACTTACCATTCATACCCTTAAAGCGATAGAGCAAACTCTTTAACAATCCGGTCAAGTTCAGAACCCTTCAGTTTTTTAATTGTCGAAAAATTATAGTTCTGTCATAAAGCTAGCAAGTCCATAGTAACCGGATATTAGGCGTGGTCCGATAGGTAATGCACGACAATTAGAAACATAATGGAAATATGAAGAATTTGAAAGACCTGAGTCTGAGTTGTTTTTAGTGCGCTCATGTGAAGGACGGCTACGTAGCAACCTACATTCCACAGCTTGCCAGACAGGACCCGGATATTTGGGGATTGTCAATTTGTACCATTGATGGTCAACGGGTGTCTTTTGGAGACTCGAAACTACCATTTTGTGTGCAGAGTGTGTCGAAGGTGCTCGTTTCATTTCTAGTTCTATTCATTTGCTTTTCGTGGTTTTATAGTCTTAGTGTAAGGTATACTGTATATCACTGCTTAAGTGGTTAATTTTTAGTTATGAATAATTTTGTGTGGTTCGACACCATTGCTCTTCTTAACCTCGACGCGCACATGTTTTGTAAATGTGTGGGTGATAGAGTGCGTTGTCGCTCCTTCCATGGCGCTGACGTTGGTGTTCATTAGAGCTTTCGATAAGATGTTTGACGATTCGTTGACGATCGACGTCAGGATGTGAAAAAGTACAAGTAATGAACTGGGATCATCGGTGGTGAATATCGGATATGTTTTTTACTGTTTACTAACACTTAGAATCCAATGTGAATTGGTTTCCACGTGTACGTGACCGACCCAAACTGATCGCGCCCTTCAACTTCTACACAGAGAAAATGAGCTTTTACTAAAATCTCTAGAATCTACAGATCTTCGTCAACAAAGTGTAACTGCTTCTGTTTTAACACAATAAGGCTCTCTTGCTATGGTGATCAGGAATCGTTTTCTTTCTTACGTGTTTTGTCAAGACTCGTATTTCAAGCAGCAAAGCGATTGGATGAACGGGATTTGCTTCAGTTGCACGCGGTGGTGTTCTCCAGTGTATCGTTAATTTTTCCGATCTCCTTGGTCCCGTTAAGAGTTCATAAATTTTGAATTTCGTTTGTAGTTCTTTTTTTGAAGATTTTGGTCCTGAATAACTGGTTCCCTAATTGGAGTTTTAAAAAACTGATCAAATCGCAATGTTAACGTTAATTTTCTGCCTATAGTATTTTTTTACGGCAGGGTATGATGTGAGTTACAACCACAACGACGCTGAGATATTCGCAAAACGTATTACACACTACGCCATGGAGCAACGGGTGATTGCTGATGGCAATGTTAGGTAGGAAATTAGCTGAGACGAACGCAGAGCAAGGTCTCCTTGGTGCACTGATGAAACCATTTTTGCCCTTGAACTGATAGTCCAGATCTTTTTTTATGAGTTTATCAAGTTCTCAGCTTCTCAAATGTTCAAGCAATCGAAAAATTATAATCATTTGTTGTAGAATCAGCATCGGACTTGAAAATTCGGGTTGACGTGAAATACGTCTCACGGTTCGTATTCTATGGTATAAATTGCTTATCTGTTTCTTTACCTCAATTCTTCGAAATTTTAGGTCTGTGCTTAGGGTGCGTAAAGCTCCAAAATATGTTTAGTAGACGCATCTTGATAGTTGTAGCTAGTAATTTCCTGAGGATTACTTTGAACCAAGAGTCTCGGAAATGGGAGCGTTGTCTTGTTCCTGCCGTTCTCCCCAAGTCCCCAGATGGTATCGGCTAAAAACTTTAGGGTACTTGCTACGATACCAGAATTGAAAATGAACATAAAATATTTAATGGTTTCTTGATAAACAAACACAAGGTTGTTGTCACATTATTTATTCACAGTAGCTGGTGTTTCTGTGGTTTCGTCTTCTTGAGAGCCATCGGAAAGACAGAGAGGAGCAACTATTTTTTTATCATTTACCATTAGAAATATTTGAATATCCAAAGAATTTAGTCCTGCTTATCTTCTGAATTTGTTTCAAAACTACATCTATCCCCTCTAGGAGTTGAGAGAATATGGATAAATATCTTGTCGCAAGACCGACTTTCCATTAACCTCGGGATTGATGAAAAATTCAGTGTTTTCTTGATGAGCAGATACGACGTTGTCACCACACTATTTATTCACAATAACTGGCGCTTTGAGCGTTTCCGCCTTCGGTCGAGCGAGTTCTGGTCGTTTTTTGCAAAAACCATTGGCATTTACTAAACGAGTCTTGTGGAGCGCTTTCATAGCAAAAATATTTTGCGCTTATCTTCAAAATTCCATGAAGTTGATTCTATGCATGAATTGGAACAGTGAACCGGCACCGGTAATTCTCGAGTGTATTGAATAGCATCGATCAGCGATAGTCCGGAACTATTGGCTAATTTTAGATTTAGCCCGTGACTGTGGAACAAGGCCTACATAACCGAGAGGCATTTACTCTAGAAAGTTCTTTTTAAATCCAGCTTTTTACCAACTTTAATCCCAAAGGTTGATTTTATTGGACTCTTATTCGCTTTCTTCCTCACATTTTCTACTTCTTTACTTCGCTGTTTTCCTGTTTATCTCCCTTTGTCTATCCCGTTCCTTGTTTAGTACACTCGCGACGTCAGACGTTAATGGGGCGAACACCCCGATAAATATAGGAGGTTTTAAGAAATAAGTAAGCGGTGGAACACCTACAAATGTGATAGAATTGTTTGGACGAAGAAGTGGGAGGAGGTTGAAAAAATACATGCCTAAACCACTTAATTAATGGAATTGTTTGTTTTCCGGCGGTTCTAATACGAATTCTGGCCGGTGATTGCTAATGGCAGAGATCGATAGAACTAGCTGAGAGAAAGGCGAAACGAAAGACCCGCATGGTGTGGTGGTGAACACGTTACTCCCCAGAAAGGACAATAGCACGCTCGTTCCCCACCGCAGACACCTGCGGTCCAGAGTTTTGCAAATATCTCAGCATTCTTGAAGGTTCTAATACGGCTTTTTGTAGTTGTGAAGTTATTTCCATCGAAGTTGAAACATCCGTAAATCGAGTTTCCAGTAAAATCTCTCATCTAATGGCTGTATGCTTTCATTTGATAGCATATTGACTTCTGCATTCACTAAAATTTTGTGAACGATCGTGATAGAAACTGTTAGACAGGTGTAAAAAATATGAGAACCACTTAGGAAAAAATAGTAGAATTATGTGAAAGCAAATAAGAGTGCCACCCGGCGTTAGTGGAGTATGGAAATGTATGGATAGAAGTCAAAGTATCCCCAGTCTTTACAATTATTTCTTTTCAGGCGTTCAACTACGCCATAGTATCGTCGGACCTGGGCGCTGACTTTGTTCATTCCTACGTTGGCCACGAGCCAAGTGGTCGCCTTTTTAATGAGATCTGTTTGGACTCTAACGGTAAGTAAAACGTGTTCACTGATCGAAGCAGGGTGACAGTGCGCAAACCATGCCTATTGATTGGCAGCGCGATCGTTGGCGAAGCAGTTGCACTCGTTTCAGGCAAACCGCACAATCCACTCATCAACGCAGGCGCGATCATTGTGACGTCGTTGATTCGAAATCATCTCACGATGGCCGATCGCTTCGATTTTGTGCTGAATGAGTACAAAAAACTTGCTGGCGGAGAACATGTTGGGTTCAACAATGCTACGTTAGTTAAGCGCAGTTGGTTGTTCCATATTTGCGTAGATCCCTGCCTGTCCACGAGAGAAAATGAGGGTTTGAGTGCCTCACATTTGGACAATACCGATGTTATCCCACCATGGAATCTTTGCATTTACTTACCTTTCGAACGTCTAGAAAAGATGCTGAACAACTTATAATTGCTCTTTACGTCATGTGATTGCTTACAGTAAAATAACATTAGAAGTCACAAGTATGCAATTGAACCTCCTCAAACTTATAGCTAGGCAGGACTTATAGGGCTATAGGTTGCATTGAACGTTTTAAACAATTTTTAAGGCTTTAGACATACTTAAGCTGCAGTTACAAGAGAAATGCATTTTCATCTGGTTGTCGTTTCAACATGTTGGTGTTTTAAATGAAGTATTTTGTTAAGCTTCCTTTCTGAAAGGGACACCGCTGACCGGAATTATGCTCTCTCGTATTACATGAAGGAGAACAAGTGCTTTCCACCTGGCACACAAGTATGTTAATTGTCTGATACAACTACATCAGTAGAGTGGATAGCTGATAATTACTTCCCACGGAAGTGATCTGCCTTCTAGGGTCTGCGTGAAGAGCTAGATCTTTACTTCCAACTCTGTTCGCTGGAAACAACCTGTGAAACGGCTGCAGTCATGGCAGCTACGCTTGCAAACGGAGGCAATTCCTTGTTTCTCTGTTCTTTCTTTTCTTTTTGCATAATCAGTATGACACCTAATGCTGATTTTCGACGGAAACGTCAATGTGTTTATATATATACATATGTATATATACATATATGTATACATATGCGGTAATGCTGACGGAATAATATATATCAATATATATATATATACATATATGTATATCTGTGGATAAATATATATCACCTCTATCACCTGTAGTCCTGTTGATAGTCTAGTGACTCGAGCGGGCGCCAGTAAATCTTCCGCTTTTCCTTGTCGCGTGCAAGAGCAGCCCAGTGGGTTCTGCTCGCTCTAGGGATTCGTCGAGCATCATATCTTCTACGCTCTTCGTGAAGAACTCTGACCATCGGGTCGGTGGTCTTCCTGCAGTACATCTGACATCCCGAGGAATCCAGTCACCAACGGCTCTTGTCCATTGGTTGCCGTTCATATGCATTACGTGTCCGACCCACCTTATCTTCGACCGTTTGGCGTGCAGAACGGCATCCTCGATTTTTGATCGCTGACACACGTCGGAGCTTCGGATCATATCCCTTACTTATGTGAAATGGGATACTCCTAGCACCGTCCTTTCGACAGCGCGTTCGATAACGCTGACTGATCCTTCATCCTGCTTACGCAGCGACCAGGTTTCTGACGCATACATTAGGGCAGGAAGTACCGTTGAGTCGAAAAGGTGGGCACGGAGTCGGGTGTTCTTTGTTCTCTTCACTATATCCTCGATGCTCTTGAAAGCTCCATAAGCCGTTCGTTTCCTTCTGCTCAACTCTAGAGCTGAGTCGTTCATCATATTGATCGCCCTACCTAGATAGACATAACTGGAGCATTCGGAGATATTCGTTCCGTTGAGCGTGAATGGGGCATGCGAAACCAATCCGTTCGACATGAACATCGTTTTTGTGATATTTAGTCGAAGAGCAATGTTTCCACAGGCTTTATCAAAGTCGGCAAGCATACGTTACGCTTGGCTAACGGTTGGTGTTATAAGGACGATGTCATCAGCAAAACGACGATGGTGTAACTACTGACCATCGATTTTCACTCCCATATTATCCCATTCCAATGTTCGCATGACTTTCTGGAAGATGGCAGTAGATACTTTTGGCGAGATGGTATCGTCTTGCCTAACTCCTCTTTTGACGTCGATGTTAATATCGTTGTAAAATGGTGATACCTTGGTTGTAAAATTTTTGTACAGCTCGCGAATAATGTCTATGTACTGCACAGAGACTCCCTGAATTTCAAAGGCTTCCATGACTGTTTCTATCTCAATTAAGTCAAAGGTCTTCTTTAAATCGAAGAAAGTGAGACAAAGTGGTCTTTTGTACTCTAGCGATATTTCAGTGAGTCTCGTTATTATGCGGATTTGGTCCAAACGAAGCCTTTTCGAAACCCTGCTTGCTCACATGGCTGCTTTTCGTTCACTTTTCAGTCAATCCTGTTGAGTACAACTCCACTGCAGAGTTTACAGACGACAGACAGCAAGCAGATTGGGCGATAGCTGCCGATTTCGCGTAGGCCACCCTTCTTGAGCAATAACACGGTATTGCTGGTCATCCACTGAGTAGGGACTTTGCATTCAGACAGGTAACGTGTGAAGAGCCGAGTCAGTGTGTTTACGAGGACTGGCGGAGGGTTATTCATGTGCTCTGATCTTATCCTGTCCGGACCTGGTGTTGTTCGACTTTTCACCAACGAAATGGCATGTCGGATTTCGGAAGGGAGAACCGGTGGTACAACACATATCCATCCTCCTTATTTCATATGACGGGGAGTGGACGTGGATATCGAAGAGATTTGAGTAGCATTCGTGAATGATTTTCTCCATTGCCTTTCTGGACGCTGTAACTGTTCCGACTGGGCGTCGGAGTGCAATCATCTTGGTCTTGTAATTGGCGAAGCTTCGGCGGGCTATGCGACTGCTTTTCCCAGCCTCTGCAGATTCGGTCATTACTGCTGCTCTTCTCTCTTTAAAGCCTTCTTTTGTCGCCTGTCTGCATTGTTTTGCAAGTTCGGGCGTTAGTTCGCGGTTGCCTGCAGCTCCTTCGATTCCACGCTGGCGTATCAGCTCGAGTGTTTCTGGAGACAAACGTCTCTTGGTGACCTTGGAATGAACCGATCGTATTCTTCGTCGATGTTATGGACAACGGCATCTTCTCAGCAGCCTATAAATGAATTGAATAAGTCCCAGTTTACGGTGGTTCTAGGACTTCGGTTTTTGAATTTAGCGGGTTTTTCTCCTTTCCGCGAGAAATAACTTGCACGAAGGAGACGATGGTCTGATCCCGTGTAGAATTTTGGGTTAAAAGCGACATCGGTTAGGCAAAAATTTCCTTATGGTACTCTATATTGGGAGACTCTCACATCCAGCGTTGAGGGTTGGGCTTCTGGAGTTGCGAGCTATCATGGATGGTCTTGATCGCCATGATAAACTCAGCCGCTCACCCTGTTCGTTGCATTCTAATCTGTGGGTCCCAATGTGGCGTTCTTCGGACGTTCTTCAGACGTTCTTCTTGGTCTAATCTTGGCGTTGCAATCTCCAATGATGACCTTGAAGAATGTATGGTCTTCTCTGCAGAACTCCTCCAAGTCCATATAGAGCGCTTCGACTTCTTCTTCGTCATAGTTTGACGTCGGCGAGTAAGCGACGAATTTTGTCAAAGCCGGTATTGATCCACGCCTCTGTAACCGTAAACGTCCGATTCGGGTTGTTAGTTCTGTGAATGAATAGTTGTTCATGGACAAACTCGTGGTGACGAGAACGCCGACGCCGCCGACTCCTCTACTGTCGCATGTTCCTAGGAACAGTTCTTCTCCGGTGTCATAGACGGCGTTGAATAAGTGGCGTCGTTGCGTCTCGGCCAGGCCGATGACGTCGTACCTTATCCTTCTTGCTAGCATAAGCAAGTCTTCTATCGAGTACTCGGATGCAAGTGTACGTGCATTGTAGGTACAGATCGTCACCATAGTTCTTCGCGATCCAGGCAGCTTCCATTGGCTCTGAGATTTTAGCAGCCTCTTCGCACTTGTCCTACCAAACGCTGCGAAATTGGGGGCTCTTTCGGAGTCAACGGGAAATATATATAAACATATTTAAATGTAAAAGCCTCTCAACGGTATACCGCCTCATCATGGCTGGTAGATGTTCCTGGGTGTTGGGCTTCGACGTACAGTGGGAGGATTCATCCCTCCAGCAGCGTCTTCCAAGCTGAGAAGGAGTCCGGCGTTTGCTTCTGAAAGACCAGCTACGAGTAAACCAATACCGGAATCCACCACTGTTCTGGTACCTAAGGAGTCGCCTGGTGGAAAATCTCCCTCTGATCCACAAGGGCGGCGACTGCTCGTGATGGTGACGATCCGGGGCAGACATTGTTCAGGCTGACCTTGGTCACTTTGGGACTACAGAGAAACAAATGTCTAAACCAGCTAAACTTCGTAAAATCGAAAATTGCGATGGGGTCCGTACAACCAGTGAGGATGGGCCACCCAAGTATCGAAGCAAGTAAGTATAAGAGCACTTATTTGGGAATAAAAAAGAAAAATACGTATTTGGGCGCCGGAATAGTGGAGCGCTCTCTTGGTAGGATAAGAAACTTATGTTTGGTTGGCAAAGGTATATGTATTCCATGGTTTTGCTTCAGCCGATGAGATTTCCCATGAGCTAAGACCTATTGGTTTAAGGCTGACAATGACCGCTGCTTTCGTAATATATGCACTGAAATCAGTGCATGCTTAGAGGTATATGATTAATAGTCCAATGGTTAAATTTTTCATCAAGTCTATTTGCAGAAAATTTTACCTCTGTGAAAACTTGTAGCACGTTGCAAATTTTTGGGATAAATTTCAGGCGTCTGTCCGCTTACCGACGAACTGTGCATTCATCCTCGCTCGTGCAGAGATGTACTGTCATTGATGTACTCATGCGGAATGTACGATTTTTCCGGGAAGTTTGCATTTCAGGTATGCCAGTAGCAGTCCTCAAATCAAGTATTCTTTTCGCTGGCTCTGTGAATTCTTTTTATTAATAGCGAACTATGCAAAAATCGTTGTTATTAACTACGCAAATTCTTAAGTAAGATGGATGGTAAAAAAAAAACAAATCAAAGCATACGAAGAAATATCATCAGTGGCCATATCAGAGAAAGTAGTAGTTCCGAAAGTGCTTTCCTAGCACCCACCGTAGTATATAATTGTAGTGTGGTGGCGCGATATTGAAGTCCGCAGCTCTTCAT